AAGTATATATATTCTTGATCAGCGTAAAATTCTATGGCGATATAGCAATGTCCGCCCGTCTGTCTGTTGTAATCACTCTAGCGTCTAAACGAATTGAAATAGATCGCCAAAATTTTGCATAGAGTCGTCATTTGTCTGCAGGCAGGTCAAGTTCGAAGATGGGCTTTATCGGTCTACATTTAGGCATAGCTCCCATATAAGGGTACCCCCCAATTTTCGGTATTTTGTGGTTCTTGCGCGTTTTTCAACTGAATTCGCTGAAATTTGGTACATAGAGTTCTTATTGGGTAGCAAATCTCTCCACTAAAAATTATAAATATGGGTCCATATTTTCGGATAGCCCCCATATAAGGGTACCCCAAATTTTGCGGTATTTTGGGGGGTTTGATCGCATTTTCCGACCGAATTCACTGAAATTCGGTACTTTGAGTTCTTATTGGGTAGCAAATCTCAGTAATAAAAATTATATATATAGGTCAAATTTTTCGGGTAGCCCCAATTCAAGTGTACCCCCCAATGTTCGGTATTTTAGGGTTATTGAGCGCCGTTTTCAACCGAATTCGCCGAAATTTGGTACATTGGGTTCTTATTCGGTAACAAATTTCCCCACAAAAAATTATAAATATAGGTCTAGTTTTTCTGGTAGCCCCCATATAAGGGTACATCCAATTTTCCATATTTTGAAGTTCTTGAACGCGTTTTTTAACCGAATTCGCTGAAATTTGGTATTTCGTAGTCGTATATGGTAACAAATCCCCCCACCAAGAATTATTAATATTCACCCCTTTTTAGGGGTAGTCCCCATATAACCCCCTTTTTATATTAAAATAGTTATCTGATTTGTTCCGAGTGTTTGAGTAGGGTAGTCGTTACGGGGAATAGTCAATTTTTACTCTACAAAAACTATGTAGCCATCTGTTGTAAGCATTCCGCCTTCTTAAGGTATTGTGATAAAAAAAACTCAAACATGACGATAATGAAATATATCGGCAGACATTTAGGCATCTCCTCAATATAGTGATTCCTCCTGAAGGAAATAATTGAGATAAACAATTAAAATATTGGGTTCAAAATTGGCATATACCGGTCATTAATTAGGCATAGCCCTCATATAATGATATCTCCAAATATTCACTGTTTCATACACTATGTGATCAATATTGGTCCCCCTTTAGGCAGCGCCTCATATAGCTTTGTAATCTAAATTACATTAGTTTGAGCGTTATCAGTATCAGTCCACTTTTTGGATCTTACAGATTTTAGGAAAAATCCAATTAAAAATTGCTGAAGATTGTATTTGGTGTACATAAATCGGTTTGTAGAATTATCGGTATATGCCCAATTTTTTGGTATGTTCCCTATATTTCCATTGCATGTATCTGTCAGTATAACTATGGTGGAGGGTATCCAAAGTTCGGCCCGGCCGAACTTAACGCTTTTTCACTTGTTAAGACTATAATTTGACATATCGAATTCTCGATATAGATAATATTAAGGTTAGTCATAAGATATTGTGCGGAAAAGTCAACGTTTTGATTTAAACCTATATTGTGCTTTAAGTTTTGAATTTTGAAGGCCTTAATACCACAAAATTTAATCATATGGGTCCTTAGAAAACTTTGTCGATAACAGTTGACCACTAATCTTCTAAGGAAGTGCAAATATTTCCCAGACTGAGAATATATATGTGCATAAACATATAGCACAGTGGTATTTGTGTAGGGTGTCATAGGGTCGGCCTTGTTCGACTATATTGTCCGATCACTGGTTATATCCTACACAATATATTATTGCTATGTGTGACCGCAAGAGTTGTAACGCAACGAAATATTGGTTTTAAATCAGTGTTGAAAAGAACTAAATTAAGAGTAAGTGCGTGAGAGCGTAACTGAGAGATCATCAACAAAAATGACTGACGTAAAGAGGGACAAAGAGAAAACGTGTTTGGCCATCATCGTACTATTTTGTGCATTAGTGTTTTAAATCCACCTTTTAGTAGTCGATCTAGACATGTGTGTCCGTCTGTCCATTATAATTTGTAAACACAGTAAGTAAGTAAATCCATTTCCCTTTTGTTTTAATTGATGATCGATTAATATTTATTGGATGAAATGGACCAACAACTTTTTTACCTAGTCACTGTATATACGACAATTGTGACCCGAACATCACGATATCACAAGGAATAACTATGGATTTTCATACCATCAAACTGTCTGCAAACAAAAGACACTTCTTTTCAGAATATTGGCTTTGTATTTTTTGTCTGATGTTAGGTCGATACATATGTTTGAGGTTTATAACAATTTTTTAAAGAGAATTTCGAACTCTATATAATTATAACCTACACTATAATGTCGTCAGGGTATTATAATTTGTGTGGTCCCAAGGGATGTATCGCCGCGAAATGTTGGTGCTAGACTCAACTTTGACTAGCTGAATTGATCTAGACATATCCGATCGTCTGTCCATTATAATTTGTAAATACGATACAGGCCACAGTTATGGGCCTATCGTCACAAAATTGTGCATGCAGGACCAGGTCTTGCCAAAGAAGACCCCTATTTGGTAATTCAGTGAATGAAGCGACCAAAAACTTTATTTTTGCCTGTATTAGAGGCTTCAATTATGACCATAAATTTTACAAGGAGAGTGGGATTTATATAAAGAATAACCATGACTGTTTTGATGAAGATCGGTCAATATTAAGTTGGTCAAATGGGCCAAGTCTTTTATGTAAAAATGACAAAATTTGCATTCTAAGGCGTATATATTTAGACCTGAAGGACATAGACCACATAAGTTGATGGCGTATCCGAGAGGAATGGCTGACCTTTAAATTGATACAAATTATGCCGATATATGTAGTCGGATGTGGGAGTTATACTCATATATTTACAGGTGTCTATGTATTCTGATATTGTTTAGAATTATCATTACCACACTAGAGGATGGAAATATGGTTATATGATGGCTATGAAAAATTGGATGAGTTTTCGGTTGATTCCGCAAATGAACCGAAACTTTATTTTTGACTGGTTTTCTAGTCAATCTAGACGTCACAATTATAACCCAAATAACCAATAATATCCACCTGCCCAACTTTTCTGTGTAAAAATAAATACTACAAATATCGCAAAATATGTCCATGCTACAAGGGTATAAAAATGAATATTAATTACATTATATAGTTCGGTTCCAGAACCTAAAGGAATCTACTAATTTTACAAGTTATGCAACTTTTTACTCAAAACGTATTTATTTCTGAACCAGTGTTGCCGAATGTGGGCATTTATGCCCAAAAGTGGGCATAAATAATATAAAATTTAGGACTTGGGTGGATTTTGGGCATATTTTTCATTTCCGGCACATTACAATTTTTTCTATATTTGTTTACCGACACCAATATGTTGTAAGGAATTTTATTGTCCCAAGAGTTTATAAAACAGCGAAATGTTGCTCCAAGACCACCGACATATTCCGACTAGCTGATTCCATTTAGACATGTTTTTCCGCCCGTCTGTCCATTATAATTTGTATTTATGGATTAATCGCTATTTGTATGTGGATTCGGTTCTAGCCAAAAACGACTCCTATATGTTCAAATGAACCTAAATCTTTACTTGTGTCTGTAAGTTTTACACGGGTTTGGGAATCAGCTCAAGAAAAATCGTGGATGTTTGACCGGGTGTTCCAAAAATTATTGCCCAACTTTTTCCCACTATCAAATACCGCGCCAAACGTTACAAAATATTTAATGTACCTATAGTTTTCTGTAGTGATCGGATAATATTTATGGGATAAAATTGACCAAAATTTTTATTATGTCTGATTCTAATCGCTCTATAAACCACACGTATGATCTGAACACCATGTAATTTAACCGGGAAGTGGATCTGGGCATCGAAGAACATAACATTCTATGATGGAGATGTTTTCTCCACGAACATAAGAAAAAAATCATTTGTACTTTGAAATTATCTCAACTATCTTGACGTATATGGTCAGATATACAAAAATGTTCATATGTGGACAAACTTTAACTGAAAATGTATGTCAAGTCGTATTTGTGTAGGGTATTGTATGGTGAGCCCAGTCCTAATATTCTGCTCCATTCGCTTTATATAAGTTTTTATCAATGAGTTGTGCTCTTGAGGCCACATATTCGGATTTAATACAGATTAGGTAAAATATTACGATGTGCAATCAATGCATGAAATCAATATACAACCTTTTAAAATGTTGACCCTGAATCAATGACCCCTGGGTTCCCATCTTCGAACCTAATCCAGGTTTGGTCAAATTAGTTGGAAAGTTTGAATCATAAATTCAGTTAAAAATATCGACACTTTGCGGGGAACTTGATATAAATTTAGAAGAAAAATTAAAATGTGCTAAATTTTAATCAAATCGTTTGCTTATTTCGAAAGATATCGTGCGCACCAATCAGATTATTTATAGAATATTGTCAATATAGGTCAATGATCTGAATAACTCCCATATAAAGGATATGCACCTATTCGAGATGTTGAAGAATTTAAACCCTGTATTTTTTTCTGTCTGTAATTTGGTACATCATTTAGTCAGGTATGAAAACCTGATCGATATTTTTTTATTTCGAATTCCTCCGTTATGATGGAGGGTATAAGAAATTCGCCTCTGCCTATTTTAACATATGCATATGTTTGCATTAGAGAAACGAAACCATTTAAAACGGTTTTAATAATTTTCCACATGTTCTTTTATGTTTGAACAAACTCTTAAAATATGCAATGCTAATCCCATTTATGAACTATTTAAAACTTGGTACTCCAGTTCGCTACCAAAATGTCTATGCACATTCAATGCTAATAACTAATTAATAAATCAGCACACGTTTCTAGCGATTTCATAGTGACTCTACTGTAGCTATAAAATGAACAAAATTCATTGAAACTATATTCAGTTAACTGATCACCAATCAAACCTGAACACTTCCTACTTCCAGGCGGAAAAAATAAAAAAAAACTAAAATGGCTAAATTCGTAAGTTAACAAATGAAAATTTTGCGAAGACGAAAAAAAATCTAATCAATTATTTTCTTTATTATTTCAGATGATTGTCTTGTGCGCTTTGGTTGCCTGTGCCGCTGCCAAACCCGGTGTTGTTGCTCCTTTGGCTTACACAGCTCCTGTTGCTGCTGCCTACACCACTCCATATGCTGCTGCCTATGCCACTCCCTATGCTGCCGCTTACACCGCTGCCTACACAACTCCTTTGGCCTACACTGCCCCAGCTGCCGTCGCTGCTCCTTTGGCTTATGCTAATGCTCATTTGGATGCCGCCTATGCCAGCAGCCGTGTCGATATCAAACAAAATTACAATGCCGCTGTTGTCCCAGCCACATATGCCGCCGCCCCTGTTGCCGCTGCCATTGCTCCAGTTGCTGCATCCGTTGCTCCTCTTAAATACACCGCTCCATTGACCGCTGCCGTCGCCGCTCCTTTGACTTATGCCAATGCCCATTTGGATGCCGCTTATGCCAGCAGCCGTGTTGATATCAAGCAAAACTATAATGCCGCTGTTGTCCCAGCTACTTATTCTGCTGCCGTAGCACCTGTTGCCCCTCTTAAATACACCGCTGCCCCAGTTTTGTTGTAAGAAGTGTGATACGATGTTGATTGGTTGACCAATAAAAATGTGTTTGTGATATAAATTAAATTTGTTTATGTTGTTGTTATTTAAAAAATCCTTTGAGCGGATAAGTAGAAAATGTCTTGATGTTCGGGTCATAATTGTGGCCTCTAGAGCATCCAGAAAAAACATATTAAGAATATTTTCGTCAATTTGCTAAAAGCAAAAAACGGGTCTTCTTTTGTCCAAACCGAACCTACAGATAATTTAGTGACGATAGGATCATACCTTTGGTCTGTTTCGTATTTACAAATTAAAATGGATAGACGGACAGACACAATTGACTAAATCGACTCAGCTAGAGAGGATATGATAATCGGGATACTAAAATCGGTATAGAAATGTTTGGGGCCACACAAAGCTATAATGCCTTTACAACATAGTTGTGTATGTTTTAAAAAAATATTGAAAATTTCATTTCAAGATGGCCGTTGAATAGATGACCTACAATATTAATTATACCTTATTGATAATTTGAAAAAGTAGAAGATAATGAATAGCCGATCCATACTAAGAAATATTTGCAATATAAGACATTTTCCAACACAACAAAACACAGAAAAAAATTAATATAGGTTTATACTTTTACATAACATCTATATAAAAGTCCCGCCCATTTTTAGGTATTTCTATGGTCCTCGGCTCATTTCCCGAACCGAAGTGTCTGTAATTTGGCATAAAATATACTTTTACCTAGCTTACTTAGCTGGCATGTGATAGAATATGTGTTCCATAAGCCGAGCTTAAAAAGATTTCGAGGCACGTCGGTCTTGTGTGCAGCTCTTCCAATTTGAAAGACCATGTTTCGAAATTATATCATCCATCGAATTCGTGACTTTCCTCTTCGGCGTAAACCATCAGTTGGCTCTCTTTTATATGTCTTTTGAGCTGCGTGAACCATCAGTTGGCTCTCTTTTATATGTCTTTTGAGCTGATCCTTATTCATTCTCACAACATGACCTAGCCAACGTAGTCGCTGTAGCTCGATACGTCTGACAATGTCGATGTTATGGTTCATTCGACGGCGATATTCACCTCGACGCTGATCGACCCATAGATCTGTCGGAGAATTTGTCTCTTAAACATTCCAAGAGCTGCCTCATCTGCTTGCGCAAGTATCCATACAACAGACCGAGTAGTATCAGCGTCATGTAGATTGTGGGTTTGGCTTGGCAAGAGGTGGCCTTTGTTTTTAAATTGCTTACTAAAACCATAGTAGCATCTGTTGGCTAACACTTTTCTTTTCCGGATTTCAAAACTATTTTTATTAGTTTTGTTTATGGCAGTACCGAGGTATATAAAATCGTTCACTACCTCGAAGCTGTAGTTTTCAAGTTCCACAGATGGTCCGAGTCTGCCGGACATCTTGCGCGTTGATACCATCAGCTTGGTCGTCTCGCCATATACTGCCAGTCCCACTTTGGCAGACTCTTTCTCAATTCGTTCAAAGGTGGTTGTTACCGCTCGCAATGTTCGACCTATTATGTCGTCGGCGTAGACAAGTAACATGTGTAGTTTGGTGTACAGAGTGCCATGTCTCTTCACATTGGAATCTCGAATGACCTTTTCCAGCAGAATATTAAAAAGGTCACACGACAAAGTGTCACCTTGTCTGAATCCTCGTTCGGTATTGAAGGGCTCCGAGAGATCCTTTCCGACTTTAACTGATGACCTTGTGCCAGTTAAAGTTATCCTGCATGCCGAACGCAGACATGGCTTTAAATACATCTGAACGGATTGGACTATCGAAACCGGCTCTATAGTAGAGGAACAGGTGGAATGTGTCGATGTGGTTTTCGTGGATCTTTTCCAGAATTTGGCACAGTGTGAAAATCTGGTCTATGGTGAATTTCCCAGGTCTGAAGCCGCACTAGTATGGTCCAATATTATTTGGACCTTGGCTTCAGTCGTTCACACATCATGGGAAGGATACTAATTCCTCTACAGTTCACGCGGCTTAAAATGCTGAGGTTCCAATCATTGGACATGCATTCTTCTAGCCAAATTGTACTAATCAATTGGTGCATGCTTCTGCCAAGTGGCCAAGCACTGAATAGTGGTCAGGCCCTGAATAGTTCGGCTGATAATCCATCGGCACCTGCTGCTTTATTATTCTTTAGCTGATTAATTGCTATTCTGACCTGATCTTATCTAGGTGCTCGTAAAATATGTATTTGGTCTGTTCATCTTTGTCTTCCGTCGGAGCATGGGCGCAAAAAAGACTGATGTAGAAAAACTTCGCATTTATACGGATTAAAACAATTCGCTCATCTACTACAAAATGTTCGAGATATAACCATGTTTTGACATATACCCACACAAATTTCCAGCCCCATTTACGGTATTTTTGATATATAATATAGCATTCCGAAAACTTCTTCTTAACCAAATTTTTAATATGGGCCCAGGTGTTATAAGCCTCATACAATAAACTCGTTTTATTTTTTTCTACGGTGCAGTTCCTAGCCCATTTTTTTTTCAACCTGAGTGTCTGTAATTTTTCTCAGGACAGAAACAATGTTGAATGCACACCACATGTTGGAGAATATAAAACTTTTTGCCCAACCGAATATATCGACATTTTCCCATGTTAATAAATAAAATATAAATAGTAAATAATTTTCTAATCAAAATCACAGATTATTTATTCGAGAATAATTGGGGACATGACACTTTTTACAACAAAACTGGAGCAGCAGTATATTTCAATGGAGCAACTGGGGCAACGGCGGCAGCAACAGGTGTGGCAGCATAAGTAGCTGGCACAACAGCGGCATTGTAGTTTTGCTTGATATCCACACGGCTGCTGGCATAGGCGGCATCCAAATGGGCATTGGCATAGGTCAAAGGAGCGGCGACGGCAGCAGTCAATGGAGCGGTGTATTTAAGAGGAGCAACGGGAGCAGCAACTGGGGCTACGGCAGCAGCTACAGGGGCGGCAGCATATGTGGCTGGGACAACAGCAGCATTGTAGTTCTGCTTGATATCAACACGGCTGCTGGCATAGGCGGCATCCAAATGAGCATTAGCATAAGCCAAAGGAGTGGCAACGGCAGCAGGAGCAGTGTATGCCAATGGAGCAGTATAAGCAGCGGTGTAAGCGGCAGCATAGGGAGTGGCATAGGCGGCAGCATAGGGAGTGGCATAGGCGGCAGCATACGGAGTGGTGTATGCAGCAGCAAGGGGAGCTGTGTAAGCCAAAGGAGCAACAACACCGGGTTTGGCAGCAGCGCAAGCAACCAATGCGCACAAGACAATGATCTAGAATAAAAAAAGGATTTTTTAATTATTATTATGTTTTTTTTAACTGTAATATTGTTACTTACGAATTTGGCCATTTTTTTAAAATTTGGAGGATTGGTTCGATTGATAAACAAAAACTGAATAATTTCCCATAGAACTGTTCCATCTTTTATATACAATAATTTGATCAATTTACAATTAGTAAGCCTTAGTTGTTTACTAATCCGAACTCTATGCGTGCTCGTTTTATAAAATTATTTCTTTACTCAGAGCACTGTCAACGTACAGTTAAGTAGTTTATTTGTTATGCCAGCAGCACCAACATTTAGAGGTCATTATGTGCATATAGCGGGATGTATTAAGATTCAGAGTAAAGTGTTTTTGTACATATTATATACTCATAGTCAACATGTATATTCGGCTCAGGGTATACAAAATTACATTAATAAACATCTGCAACAACATGATATTCCTAAACTAAAGTATATTTCTTCAGACGAAATGTACATAACTCTGACCCATAGAATCAATGCAATCGACAAACATGTTAATGAGCATACCAATACACATACCCATGATTGCCAGACAATGAATAAAATTGAATTTTTAATCACACCACGTTCGACACTTAAGTGTATCACCATTGAATGTTTGAAAAAGTATAAAACGCTAAACAATTCCACGAAATTGTACAGTTCTTTAAGTAACGAACAACAAAACCCAACTTAAACTAAAAATGGCTAAATTTGTAAGTGAACCGCAAATGAGATTAAAAGTGAATTAAATACTAAATGTAATTTTTTATCCTCCATTTAGATGATTGTCTTGTGCGCCTTGGTTGCTTGCGCTGCTGCCAAACCCGGTGTAGTTGCACCTTTGACTTACACAGCTCCTGTTGCTGCTGCCTACACCACTCCTTATGCCGCTGCCTATGCTACCCCTTATGCCTCTGCTTATGCTACACCTTATGCTGCCGCTTACACCGCTGCCTATACTGCTCCTGCTGCCGTTGCAGCTCCTTTGGCTTATGCCAATGCTCATTTGGATGCCGCATATGCCAGCAGCCGTGTCGATATCAAGCAAAACTACAATGCCGCTGTTGTCCCAGCTACATATGCCGCTACCCCTGTCGCTGCCGCCGTTGCCCCAGTTGCTGCTCCCGTTGCTCCTCTTAAATACACCGCTCCATTGACCGCTGCCGTTGCTGCTCCTTTGACTTATGCCAATGCCCATTTGGATGCCGCTTATGCCAGCAGCCGTGTTGATATCAAGCAAAACTATAATGCCGCTGTCGTCCCAGCCACTTATGCTGCCACCCCAGTTGCTGCTGCCGTAGCTCCAGTTGCCCCTCTTAAATACACCGCTGCTCCAGTTTTGTTGTAAAAACTGTCGATCGAATCGAATCATGACATGAATAAATGATAATCTATAATCACATATACATACACAATTTGTTTAATATTTTTTTATTTTATTTTTTTTTTTTTTTTTTTTTGGGAAAAGGACACAAAGTGTTTTGGGTTCACCTTAGTCCAGAAATTTATAACGCCTCAACAACTGGAATAAAACCATATAACACAAGAATAATACAAAGTATAATTTAAATTGCTTCAGAATTTAATTTCAACATTTTATCTGAAATCAGATGAAATTATACAAGGGAGCTACATATAATCCAATTGATTTCAGCTAAATGGCGATCCAAATTATATAACAGTTTCTATATAGGTCATGCTTTTTAAAGATTATTTTGTGTATTATTATTCTTTCCCACCTAAAAGCCTGCTATTTGTCATTCAGGGTCACCCTTCAAGTGACAAACATTTCTAGGAGGTTGAAACACATTCTTGCAAAATTATTTCGTTATAGGACCATGTATTTACATAGTCCCCATATAGAGGTCGCAGCATCATATTCTGTATTTTGTTTTAGCAGTAGTTTTTGTTACCAAATCTGCGGATTCTTAGGGGATGGGAAATATATTTGTATAAAATGTTTCATATAGTGCATCTATATATATAAAAATGAATTGCTGTTCGTTAGTCTCGCTAAAACTCGAGAACGGCTGAACGGATTTTTCTTATCATAGTCTTGAAATGTTCGCGGAGCTCCAGGGAAGGTTTAAAAGGTGAGAAAAAGTCAAAAAATCGCGAAAAATTTGAAAAAAGACTAATGCAAGGATGAAAAATCAGAAGACATTCTGAATCGAGATCGTGTCCATTCAGGATATGAAGGATTCTAAGATCCATGCCCTAGATTAATTTGTTTGAAAATAATAATGTGAACACTTTGTTCCTTAAAGTACCTGAAATTTTGATGTGTCACGCGAAATATCAAATCAGGTGGTTATAAGCCTAATCGTTTTTTAATATCTTTGAACTTATAAACAGAACATCTCGCATATATCCGATACCAAAAATGTGCAAAAATCTATCATTGAGCTCAGCTGGAAAGAGAACAACTAACAAAAAATCAGCAATATTAGAAAAAATATCCAAGACAGGTTTTAACATGTCAACTACCGATAACACTTAGGTTGGAAAATGGGATTAAGAACTTCAACATATCAAAATTGAATGGGAAATAATTATGGCGTATTTCTAAAACGTTAATCAATAGTGCATAATTTCTGGGATGCTGCTTTTTATTCACAGGAATCCGTTATCCCTAATTATAGCCAACTCTATGAGAAAATTCGGTCAATGTCTTTATAGAACCGAAAATGGGGCGGGACCTGTATTTATATGCTAGATCAAAACTTGGTCCTAAATAGATAATTTTATCCGAAATGACATATTTTATTATATTTAGACATACAATGGGAATGGGGATTAATTAATTGTTGGTATGAAGATTTGACACCACATGAGAAAATATGGAGGATACGATAATATGGGTGCTATCCGGGAACTTGAATCAATATTGATAATTTTTTGTAAGTAGATTTTGTACTCACTGATCATCTAAAATATAAAATTACAGCCAATTTTTTTCTAACACGTGACAAAACCCCCCAAACTACGGAAGAGTGAACTGATATTGACAATTTTATTAGGATTCATGCTACCAAATAAAACAACCAACCAGCTTGACCAAATTTTGTTAGGAACATTTTCTACTCGATGATCATCCAAAATATAAAATTACAGTACCAAATATACTTGGGCCAATATTGATAATTTTAAGTAGAGAGATTTTCTGCTCAAGAACTATCCCTTATTTTAAATTAAAAGCAATGTTGTTGAAAACCGTGCCCAAGATCTTCAAAATACCGAATGTTTAGGGCGACCATTTTATAGGCGGTACCCCGAAAAATGTGCCAATATTGATAATATTTGGTACGGACACTTTTTGCTCAATTACAACCAATTCTGTTGAAAAAATCGCTACAATTTCTCATATTGCGAGGTACCGTTATATGGTGATACCCTAAACAGTGAAATAATATTGAACATTTTCAATACCAAATATTGTAGGAGTAGAAGCTATGTATGTGCAAATTTCAAAGCATTTGTGAATTATACATCAACAATAATGCTATGCAAGACAACGTTTATATATATGTCAGGTAAAGTGTATATTATATTGAAACACTGGAGACCCCAGAAAGTATATGTATAACCCCACATATAACGGTACCCCCAACATTCGGCATTTTGTCTATAATTTGGCATTTTTGGCGATATCGGGCCACTTTTTATGATAGCTCTTATATAACGGTACTCCCTATTATTCCGTATTTTGGGGTGTTTGGCTAATTTGGTTATAATTTAGTATTTTGAGTTTTCATATGGTAGCAAATCTTTCTACCAAAAACTATGAATATTGGTTTAAATTTTAAGATATCTCCATATAACGGTACCACCATTAGTGTTTTGGTGTTTATGCACGTTTTCAAGCAATTGCCTGTAATATGATACATTAAGTTCCCATAGGGTAACAAATCTCCTTACCAAAAGTTATCGATATAGATCCACTTTTTTAGGATAGCCTCCACAATCCCCGAACGACTACTGGTATAAAAGTTTGTCCTGGTCGAACTTAATGAATTTTTTATATATCGGTAATTGACATGTTGAGGTATTTGTAAAATGAATTGGTAACATCATGAGACTCTATGTTATAATGTATGTTTTTGACGGAGGTTTTGGTATATCCTTCACATTAGATATTATGCTTATTATGCATTTTTTATATTGATGGTTTACCGATATATCCCATTTGCAATATCAAACATATAAAGAGTAATAACAATATATGTGCAAAACTTCAAAGGAAAGTTAGAGAAAAAATTCGATTCAAAGTATCTTGTTATATTAGTTTTCTCTGTGTTACACATTTTGGTATCGGATATATGGGAGGTTTTGTGTTGATATTGACCCCCGATCAGGTATATAACCACCATATAATGGTACCACCTGATTTTATATTTCTCGTGGCATAGGTAATTCAAGGAACAACATGTTCCTATGGAACTATTATTATTATTATTATTTTCAAACAAAATAATCTAGGCATGGATCTTAAAATCAAAATTCTATGAATGGATACATACTCGATTCAGAATGTCTTCTAATTTCCCATCCGTGCATTTGTCCCAAAATTACGTGAATTCTATGTGAATCGCGTGTGCATTCAATAATATAAATTTCAATAATTTTTTTTTTTTTTTTGTATTCCCACATAAAATATTTTCTATACAATGTCAATCTAATTGAAAAAATTAAATATTTTGAAAATTTTCAATAATTAGCAAATGAAGGCTCAAAAGAGTGATACGCTGCCAATTTTTGATCAAAAGATCTCAAAATAAAACTACGACATGGTGCAATGAAAATAGCTCGATACTAAATTCGTGGAAAAGCAAATATGCTTTATATTTTTTTTTTGCAAATTTTTCGCGGTTTCCGATTTTTTCTGGAATCCGTAAACGTAATTCCTGCCATGTTTCTTTGTAATTAGAAATAGTCCACATATAAATTGATTAATAATATCCGTTCAGGAATATGTATATCTATTTGACGATATCTACAAAAAACTAATACTAAATAACACCTAGTAATTATAGTTGAACATAACAATCTGTTTCCAAAATTTCCCAATGAAAAAATGTGTCCATGAAAACTATAGCATTCAATATAATGTTAAAGTATAATTAAACAATCAACATACAAACATTTAAAATAAAAACTATAACATGCACAGCTACCACCAATCAACAGCATACATTTAAAATCATGACACGTCCATCGATTCACTTTTTTTCATTTTCTTGAAGAATATAAAATAGCTGCAGTTCTTTGGCAAAGTATTCAGTTTTTGTGAACTACCAAACAACAGAACACCACTCAAAACTAAAATGGCTAAATTTGTAAGTAAAAGTTAACTAAATGTTTAAAATTATAAATGAAATAAATTTTATTCGAAATGTAATTTATTTTATCCTGATTTAGATGATTGTCTTGTGCGCCTTGGTTGCCTGTGCTGCTGCCAAACCCGGTGTAGTTGCTCCTTTGGCTTACACAGCTCCCGTTGCTGCTGCATACAGCACTCCTTATGCTGCCGCCTATGCCGCTCCTTACGCTGCCGCCTATGCCACTCCATACGCTGCCGCTTACACCGCTGCCTATACTGCTCCTTTGGCTTACACAGCTCCAGCTGCCGTCGCCGCTCCTTTGGCTTATGCTAATGCTAATATCAAACAAAACTACAATGCCGCTGTTGTCCCAGCCACTTATGCTGCTGCCGTAGCCCCAGTTGCTGCTCCCGTTGCTCCTCTTAAATACACCGCTGCTCCAGTAGCCTACACTGCCCCAGCTGCCGTCGCTGCTCCTTTGGCTTATGCTAATGCTCCTTTGGATGCCGCCTATGCCAGCAGCCGTGTTGATATCAAGCAAAACTACAATGCCGCAGTTGTCCCAGCCACATATGCTGCCGCTCCTGTAGCTGCTGCCGTAGCCCCAGTGGCTCCTCTTAAATACACTGCTGCTCCAGTTTTGTTGTAAAAACTGTAATCCTTCGTACCATGCCATAAATAAACGATAATTTTAATCTCACGTATATACACAAATGTTTTTTTTAATCCATAAATATTCCATGATTGTGAAAGAACTTGGTAAAAAATTATTTAAACCAATACCAAAAGGACCAAAGTGGGTGGAGGGTTTGGTATACCCTTCACCGCTTTGGATATACAAAGGATGTGATTTATGAAGCATAACAAACTATATATGGGTGGTATGCATATCGGAACATGATACACCATTTATTCTAGTATTGTAAAGCAGAAGACATTGGTTGTTTGGATTCGGAAGAAATTATATATGACCAGTATTTGAAGCAAATTCGACTAATGACATTCGATACTTACCTCAAAAGCCTATGCAAAATTGTGCGCTAATAGGGCAAATTATTAAATCGAAATAATAATAAAATTGAATAATTAAATCGTAACCGATTAGAAAACCAGTAAGGAAAGTAGTAAAGTCGGACTGGGCCGACTATATGATACCCTTCACCACCTTGGGTATATTCTACATGTGTATCCTAACAGACGCCGCCCTTTCGAAGGAATGTTGACATGGAATTGGACGAACTTAAATCTAAATATAACCCGATTTTCTCGAAACGTAACACACGTGCTATGGTAGGGACAAATTTTAATCTCAAAGGCATGAAAATTCCCATGAACATGCAGAAAAAATATGAACTGTGACTACAAATATAGAAAAAACCACAAAATTTCTGTAAATACACTTGTCATAAGCGAACAAATATATAAAAGTGGTTGTTAGAAATACTTCAACGTATAAAACATTCAATTATAGTAGCTTCTGTACATTGTACAAAATTGTATGCCCGTCGGCCAAATTTTGGATCTGAAGTGCATAATTTACACAATAAATTGGGCGAAAGTATATATAGGAGCTTAATCTAAATCTGAACCGATTTTCAAAACTTAGTACACATCATTCTGGACCTAATTCAGTACCCTATGCCAAATTTCGTGCAAATCGAAAGATATATAGGGACTCTGCAGCCTCATTTACCTTAAATCTGAAGAAAATATATATATATATATATAAATCTGACCCGATTTTCTCGAAACTTAAAACACGTCATTCTAGACTCAATTGAGTACACCGTGCCAAATTTCGGGCAAATCGGAAGATATATAGGACTTTGCAGCCGCATTTACCTTAAATCGGAAGAACATATATATGGGAGCTGTATCTAAATCTGAACCGATTTTCTCGAATCTTTACACATATCATTCGAGACACAATTCAGTATACTGTGCAAAATTTCTTGCAAATCGATAGATATGTAGGGATTTTGGGGACCCATTTACCTTAAATCGGACGAAAATAGATATGGGAGCTATATCTAAATTTGACCCGATTTTCCCGAAACTTGGCACACGTCATTCCAGACTCTATTCAGTATCCTATGCCAAATTTCGTCCAAATCGAATGATGTATACGGACTTTGCTGCACAATTTACATATAATCGGACAAAACTATATATGGGAGCTATATATAAATCTGAACCGATTTGCACGAAACTTAGCACTCATCATTCTGGACCTAAATCAGAACCCTATGCCAAATTTTATGCAAATCGAAAGATATATAGGCACTTTGGTGCCCCATTTACCTTAAATCGCACAAAGACATAATACCCTGTACCACAGTGTGGTGAAGGGTATAAAAACTCAACACATGCATTTGTAGTGAATAGTAATACTATGTATATTCTTAAAATCGATTATTGGCATATCCCTTTCTTATTCTACATGCTACAAACATATCCACAAAGATATGTATCACAATGAGGTTTGAGCATAGTAACCGAAAATATTAATCTAATGGCATCTGAAAAAAAATATTTTTTTTTTTAAATCAACGCTTCTAATGCCTCTTGAAAAAATAACAAATTCACGCTTCTAATGGCCTCTTAAAAATATATATTTTTTAAAAAAATTCACGCTACTAATGATTTTTTTTAATCCATACTTCTAATAGTCCTTAAAAAAATATTTTATAAAAAATCCATGCTTTTAATTACCCTTATTTTTTTAAAGCCACAATTCTAATAGTCCTTGAAAAAATATTAAAAAAAAACCGACAATTCTAATAGTCCTTAAAAAATTATTTTAAAAAATCCACGATTTTAAAAGTGGTTGGATTTTTTTAAAGCCTGAACCCTGAAAAATATTTCTTTTAAAAATCTACGCCTTGTGTTGAACCCTGAAATTCTTTAAATAATCAACTCCTCGTGTTGGTCCTTGAAAAACATTCCTTACAAAATCCACGCCTGTAGTAGCCCTTAAAATATATTCTTTAAATAATCCACACCTCCTGTTGGTCCTTAAAAAAATATTCCTTAAATATTTAAGAAAAATAATCCTTGTTTGGGTCTTGGGAAACAATTTTCCTTACTACGCCTTGTGTTAATTCTTGAAAAAATCTTTGAAAATCCCGCGCCTTGTTTTGGTCCTTGAAAACATATTCTTTTAAAAATTCACTCTTGTAATAGTCCTTGAAATGTCGACAAAATATTATGTAATAACCAGTTAGGAAAGTAGTAAAGTTGGACGGAGCCGACTATATGATACCCTTCACCACCAACAGATGAATCCTAACAGACGTTGCATTTTTGAAGGACCAGTAAAATGAAATTAGATCCATAAACATGTCATTCTGCAAACCTATAATAACTTTTTCATTTGATCAGATATAGAGTAGCTTCTCACAATGGGACAAAATTATGTAAATCAATTTAAAGTAAATATCGCAATTTGAACCGAATTCAAAAAAACTTTCCACATGCTAGGTTATATTAACGTCAGTACGTTGTGAACAATTTTTGTAGCATACGGCCTAACTTTGGTTCTTTTGAGCACCTTTTACTTAAAATCGGACGAAACTAAATATGTGAGCTATATCTAAATCGGAACCGATTCCTTCAAAACTTGACAAACGTTAGGGAATACTAATTTCAGTACGTTGTGCAACATTTTTGTAGCATGCGGCCTAACTTTGGATTTTTTGTGCACCTTTTACATCTATATCTAAATCTATCTATATCTAAATTCGAACCGATTTCAACAGAACTTGCCACACGTTATGTCATAGTATCTTCAGTACGTTGTGCAAAATTTTGAGCCAACCGGACCAACCTGGGGAGTTTGGTGCAGCATTTATATCTAACTTCTAGGTTATATTAACTTCAGTAAGTTGTGCAAATTAAGAGATATGTAGGGAATTTGGTGCACCATTTATAATAAATCGGACAAAAATATATTTGGGAGCTATATGTAAATCTGAACCGATTTTCAGGAAACTTAACACACACCATTCTAGACCTAAGTCATTACGCTATGCCTTTGCTGCACCATTTATAATAAATCGGACGAAAATATATATGGGAGCTATATCTGAATCTGAACCGATTTTCCCAATTTCAATTTCATGCAAATATAAAGATTTGTAGAACCTTTGCTGCACCATTTACAATAAATCGGACGAAAATATATATGGGAGCTATATCTAAATCTGAACCGATTTTCCCAATTTTAATAGGGTTCGTCCTTGGTCCAAAAAAGTGAGCTATGCCAAATTTCATCCAATTCTGAACACTTTTTTTTAGAATTTAAGATCGAAAAAATATTATATATTTTTTTATATTTATTAATTTCTTAAAATCGCTTTCAAATTTCTTTCAAATTCCCAATTGTCACATAATTGCTAATATGTTATCAATATTTTTCGTTTTAGTAGAAAACGGGAGCTGGGGCAGCAGCATAAGCAGCAACGGGAGCGCTATAGGCAGCAACTACTGGGGCAGCGATGGTTTTGGCAACAACAGGAGTGGCAACGGGAGCAACAACTGGAGCTGTGGCAATACCATTGTAGTTACGGGCGATATACTGACTGCTGGTGGCGGTGACAAATGGAGCTGGGGCAGCAGCAACTACGGCAGCTGGTGCGGTATAAGCCAAAGGAGTAACCAAACCGGGCTTGGCGGCAGCACAGGCAATGATGGCGAAGATAACAACGATCTACAAATAAATTAAAATAAAAATCGTTATTAGAGGGGTTATTTTTTTCCAAAATTAAGAATGTCAATACTTACGAATTTGAACATTTTGTTGAGATCGTTTTACTCTGATAGTGCAGATACTTGTGATATCTTATTTCGCAAAGAATTGAAATATTTATATGAAATGATCACCAGCTTGGCTATATGTATATATGTATATATATGCAAATGTAATAATTTGATTGCAGCAACAAGCACCAAATATTGGTATGCTCAATAAAACAAGATTTAGATAATGCGTGACTGACATTTTATATTGATAGGGTATTTTAGTTTTATGGCATATTAAAGAGTAGAGAAGAAACATTGAATGATCTTCGCGAATGCTTAATGCAGTTGCATTCTGATGGAATTTTAATTTATGGAGAATTTAATAATTTTGTAAATAAACAATTTAAAAACTCCACGTTCCATTTGAAACCACTGTTCCAATATACACTACTACTTATTACCTTTGTTAATATTTTTCACAAATATTTCCTAAATTTATCAATGCCATTCGTGGTGCATTTGAAAGAAGAACGAGCAAAAACTTCAACTGAATACAAAAATGCAGCATACCCACCACCAAGTGGCCACAACAATGCGAATTGAATCACAAAATACTGATTTGAATATGGTATTAAATACCAATGTTTTGGGTGAAGGAAGTAAATTCGAACTAAATAAAATTATGAAATCGAAAAACGTATACTCACAAAAAAAACTCAACTATAAAATACGGAGTTGGATTTCGAAATGATATCATTCAGTTTTCAAAGAGAAACTAAATAATACACAACTTCTTCAAAAATGGCCAAATTCGTAAGTGAAATGTCATAAAGGATACCCGTAATATCCTTATTAACAAAAATTATACAATTTTGTCCTCCCAGCTTATTGTATTGTGCGCCTTGGTTGCCTGTGCCGCTGCTAAACCCGGTGTTGTAGCACCCTTGGCTTACAGTGCTCCCGTAGCTGCTGCCTACACCGCCCCTGTGGCTGCTGCCTATACTGCTCCAGTAGCTGCCGCTTATGCTGCCCCATATGCCACAGCATATGCTGCTCCTTACGCTACTGCTTATACCGCTGCCTATACTGCTCCTGTTACTTATACCGCCCCAGCTGCTGTAGCTGCTCCTTTGGCTTATGCCAATGCTCCTTTGGATGCCGCCTACGCCAGCAGCCGTGTTGATATCAAGCAAAACTATAATGCCGCTGTTGTACCAGCCACTTATGACGCTGCTCCCGTTGCTGCTGCCGTAGCCCCTGTTGCTACCCCAGTTGCTGCTCCTGTAGCTCCTCTTAAATACACCGCTACTTTGTTGTAAATTTATAAACCATAACCATAATAGAGTAGTCGAAGATGGTAGTGTAAATCAATTTGGGTTTTGCCATTAAAAGGGTTCACTGGAGAAGAAAATAAATGAAACTATTGTTTGATTGTCACACACACACACCAATGAAAGAATTTGGGTCGATTACGCAAAAAAAAATCAATTGGAACAGAACCGACTACCATCATTATATAAAGGATAAAAAGAAATATTATTTTAGAACGAAATATTTCTCTATTAGAAAATGAAAAGGGTCGTTAGATTTGGATACATCGAACTGTTTATGGCCTCCACCTGAGATGAATTAATTGGGTTTTTTATATTATATTATAATAATACGGAACTACAGACACTTAGGTTGGAAAATTAGGCTTCGACCTTGCACATACCGAAAAGGTTACAAGATCTTTGTATCGGCTGTATGTCTAAACATGGACTATGAATACGTTCTGTGTAGAGGTTATATTCCCACTAAAATGCCGGAATGCCTAATTACAGTCCATTTCCATTTTGGTGCACCTTTCACATTAAATCGGAGGAAAATATATATGGGAGCTAAATCTGAACCGATTTTCAAGAAACTTAACACATATGATTCTAGACCTAATTCAGTACATTATGCCAAATTTCGCGCGAATCGAAAGATATATAGGAACTTTGGTGCACAATTTACATTAAATCGGACGAATATATATATATATATATAAGCTATATCTAAATCTGAACCGATTTTCAGGAAACTTAACACACATCATTCTAGACCCAATTCATTACGCTGTGTCAAATTTCGTGCAAATCGAGAGATATATAGGGACTTTGGTGCACCATTAACATTAAATTGGTCGAAAATATATATGGGAGCTATACATAAATCTGAACCGATTTTCAGGAAACTTTATAAACATCATTCTAGACCTAATTCATTACGCTGTGCCAAATTTCGTGCAAATCGATAGATATATAGGGACTGTAATACACCATTTACGTTAATCGGACGAAAATATATATGGGAGCTATATCTAAATCTGAACCGATTTTTTCCAATTTCAATAGGGTTCGTGGTTGGGCCAAATAAGTGACCTATGCCAAATTTCATCCAGTTCGGATCATAAATGCGACCTGTACTTTGTTTACAATTTAACATGGATAGAAAAGTATCTTGAAGAGTTTATGTGAGTTCCTGCCAATAGGCCTACCTCACATGGCTGAGCCACAGGCGGAAAAGCGCCCACCAGTGCTCCAGCACCGAAGTACTGTACCAATTGGAGAGCATGCAGAAGGCACACTCCCCCCACAACCCCCGCGAAGCTCCCCTGGGCGCCACACCAATTGTCAGGCTGGATCGACAGATCCAGGGGCACCTGACACCCGCGGTACGGGAAAACCTCCACTCAGGCTCGAGACCGAGGCCTCTTCCAGTTTAACGCACGTCCGGGCTGGTATCCCAAAACAACAATAATCAACGAAGATAACCGCAGGTGGCAAGGAAAAACCTGGCCACAAGCAGTGACAAGTACACAAATCACAAACAATTAACATGCTGTCCTCACGGACTGCACCAAGGGCCCCAACGGACCGCGGCATCGGACATCACAACACCAACAATGAACAAAACTGCCCTCACGGACAGCCTACACAACATCCACAGGACGAGTGAAGCACATGAAGTGGACACCACGAACCACCCACGATGCACATACAACCGCAGGCAGACCGTACACCACCTACAACTGCCAACAACCGCCGATAACCGCACCAAGACCAGCACCGGCACCCGGTGCACCAACCCACCACCACCCGGTGCAACCAAACCACCCAACTGCAAGGGGGCTATGTACGAGGACCACCTCCACTAAGTACTGTCCTTCTCCTAAATGCTTCACGAGCAAAACTACTTAAACAACTAAAGGTCCGATTCAAGTGCCCTACTGAAATCCCACCCCGCCCCTCCATTCGATATACCCATTCTTGCTAAATCTCTAATGTCATTATAGTAACAGCATTCCGTTAGTATATGCCTCCAGTCCTCGGTCATCCCGCACCCACATAAATCCGTCTGGGCAAGACCTCTTTTATGCAGAAAAGCATTAAGAGAGCCATGCCCCGTCAGTAAGAAACCAGTACTTAAGCCGAAGCGAAAGTCTGGCCGGTCCACTACGAACGTTGCGTCACGAATAAATTCGTACGTCACCCTTCCTTTGTCACTGTTCGTCCACCTAGCCCTCCACCTATCAACAACACAGTCCCGAAGGATAGTGCTGTACCGCCTACTCTCCCCATCCACCAAATCAGAAGGCCTGAGCCAATCATCCTCATCCAACTGCAAACCACGCTTAAGCTTATACATGATAGCCCTACATCTCACTTCAAGATCAAGCGGCGCGGCGCCAAGCTGCACCTGCAACGCCTCTGTTGAAACAGTGCGACACACTGGCAAGCACGCTAGCATGACGACTCGCTGACACGAAAGGAGCTTCCTCTGCCCGAAGACAGAAGAGGCAGCTCTGTACCATATAGGTGCACCATAAGTTGCGCAGGCAACAAAAAGCCCACCATATATGATACGTACAGAGCGCCTACTCAAGCCCCAATCAGTCCGCAAAACACGCCTGATGGTCCCAACGACCGTTGTCAACTTCTCTTTCAACCGATCAAAGTGTGGAAGAAAATTCAAACGCTCCGACACCGTTATTCCGAGATATTTAACAGTACACGAATACCTTATGCCGCGTTCACCAGCTCGAATGCAGGGAGGACGACTGCGTGCTAACCTGCCTTTCAACATCATCAGCACCGTCTTCTCAGTAGCCACCACCACTCCAACACATGGATAGACAGACGGACGGACATGCATAAATCGACTTAGAAAGTGATTATATGCTTATTCTCAAAAGGAACCATGTGTCTATCTCGTTTCCTTTTGCCTGTTACAAATATAAGCACAAAGACATAATACCCTGTAGCACAGTGTGGTGAAGGGTATAGCAAAATTTTAGTTTTTTATAGCTTAGAATAGGGGGCCCAGTACCCTTGCAATACTGAGGCATGAGCCATACCACATGGTGAAAGGTATAAAAAGTTCTGTATGGTCGAACTTACTTGTTGAATTTTATTTAATATTAGCCAAAAGTCCTTTCGAAGCTAGCTAGCTCGTTTTAGTTCTTCGAAATACCAAAATATCGATATTAAATCAATTTTTGAAGCATTTTGAATATTTAGTTTATTGTAACCCCCACTGATCAATTAAATAACATAAATGTTTTGTTTTTGTTTTTTTTTTAACAAAATTATTTTAATCGAAACATGAGTATCATCAGTCTTTTCGCATCCAATAAATATTCAACGAGTTACCACAAAGCGGGGGCGGCATAAGTCAATGGTGTAGAGTAGGCCAAAGGTGTGCTGTAAGCTGAAGCGTATCTGGCAACGAAGGGTGTGCTGTAGGCTGCAGCAACTGGGGCAGCAAAGGTATTGGCAACAAGGGGAGCGGCAAAGGTCTTAGCAACAACAGGAGCAGCAACGGGAGCAACAACTGGTGCAGCGAAAGTTTTGGCTACAACAGGAGCGGCAACGGGGGCAACAATTGGAGCTGTGGCAATACCATTATAGTTGCGTGCAATAACTTGGCTGCTGGTGGCAGTGACAAATGGAGCTGGGGCAGCAACGACGGCAGCTGGTGCGGTGTAAGCCAAAGGAGCACCAATCAAACCAGGCTTGGCAGCAGCACAGGCGATGACAGCAAAGATGACAACGGCCTAAAGAAATAATTAAACAAGAACAAATAAATATCATTAAGGATACGTTGAGATTTTTTGTTTTTATAATCACTTACGAATTTGAACATTTTGAATGGGGTTTGAGGATTTTTTTGCAAATTTGTTGTTAACAAATCAAAAGTAAGTCGATGTATAATAAAATTCACCGGGGTACACGACAATTTATACTCATCCATCGGATCTCAAAATCAAAACAAATAAATCACGATATTTCACTCTCCTCCGCCTCCAAAATAAATGAGCACGTGACATAGGTTTCAAACTCTGTCCATGCTTCAGTGTTTTGATTTAGTAGCCGGCACAGTGGCCGTAGTTCAACACCATTCCATCCGAAATTACATTTATGGTATTTTATGTTTCGAACGTGATTTGAGTAGCATAGTATCCGGTGGGAATTTCAGTGTTTTACTTCGGCCGCTGACATTGACAATGAAAATCGAAACATAAAAAATCCTAAAAACTTTTCTATTTTTTTAGATGATGACTCAAAGCGTTTGAAAAATATTGGTGGCTAAGGTTAATAACTTCTTAAAAATTTGTCTATGTGACAATATTGTTTTGGGTATTTTTAACGTACAATTGTTTATATGCACATTTCTGTTGGACGTTAAATTATGCTAAGCAGGTTTCAGTAAGGTGATCATTATTTTGAGCCAACTATTTCATGACCTACACTAACATATATACCAGCGAATACTGTCGGTTGGTGTAGGTCAGTTTGACAATGGGTAATAACCTCATAAAATGTTATTGAAAGGTATGACCGCCAGATTTGAATAGTACACATTTACTTTAGCCAAGTAGATGGTTAGGGAATATCGGAGCTTTACTGACATGCCTCTTATAGAGTATTTATTGAATAATTTTATTCTAAAGAAACAAGCAGGTTACGGTTAACCAGATTTTTAACCAGCATCTGTTAACAATTATTTTATTATCACCCAATGTCCCATAATATCTGTACTAATGAAAGAGTAAAGTGATTTACTGACTTAACGATTTATCAACGCCCAGACGAAACGGCTGAAGCTGCAATCTTTAAATTTTGGGTGAGGGTCACTCTTAGTCCGAAGGTGGCAAATAGGGCTGGGTTTTTGGAAATTCGAGTGTAGAATTGATGTAGCAACGTCGTTCTTTTTTTTTGAAATTTTGAACTCTAAATATTCAAATTCATAGGAATGGATAGAACTAAAAACTTGAAATGCGACTTAGAATTGAGAAGCAGGGTCGATATGTGGAGGTGGCTTTGGAAGCATGTAATCATTTATACGAAAAGTACTAAACTGAATTTTGAATTTTGGGAGAAGTTAGAATCATGAAATTTGAAGTTAGGATTCCTGTCGAAGTGTGTAAATAGTTCTGGAGGTATGTAATAGTTCTGGAAATCCGTACAAGTTGGATTTAAGAAAAACCGAAAGGTGTGGAATCCTGAATAGGCATACATATGAATATTTCAGTGCACACATCCATTATCTCCATTAAACAAAAATATGGTTTTTATGATACCATTTTTTATACCCTCCACCATAGTATGGAGGGTATATTAGTTTTGTTTTTCCGTTTGTAACGCATCGAAATAATCATTTCCGACCCTATAAAGTATATATGTATATTCTTGACCAGCGTAAAATTCTATGACGATCTAAGCATGTCCGTCTGTCTGTTGTAATCACTCTAGCGTCTAAACGAATTGGGATAGAACGCCAAAATTTTGCATAGAGTCGTCTTTTGTCTGCAGGCAGGTCAAGTTCGAAGATGGGCTATATCGGTCCACGTTTAGGCATAGCTCCCATATAAGGGTACCCCCAAATTTTCAGTTTTTTTTTTTGGGTTCTTGAACGCGTTTTTCAACCGAATTTTTCAACCGAATTGAAATTAAGTAAAATGGGTTCTTTTTGGATACCAAATTTCTCCACTAAAAATTATAAATATAGGTCCACTTTTTATGGTAGCCATTATATATCGGTACCTCCCAATATTCAGTTTTTGGGGGGTATTGACCAGATTTTTTCGCCGAATTGGCTGTAATTTAGTACTTTGAGTTCCTATTGGGTATCAAATCTCTCCACAAAAAATTATAAATATAGGTCTTTTTTTCGGGTAGCCTCATAAAAGTGTATGCCCAATTTTCGGTATTTTGGGGTTGGTTCTTGAGCCCGTTTTTCAACCGAATTCGCAAAAATTTGGTACTTTGAGTTCTTATTGCGTAGCAAACCTCTCCACTAAAAATTATAAATATAGGTCAATTTTTTCGGGTAGCCCCATATAAGGGTACCCTCCAATTTTCGGTATTTTGGGGTTATTGAGCACGGGTTTCAACCGAATTCGCTGTAATTTGGTATTTTGTAGTCGTATATGGTAACAAATCTCCCTACCAAAAATTATTAATATTTTAGGGTAGTCTCCTTATAACCCCCTTTTTTGTTTTAAAATAGTTAGCTGATTTTTTCGGTGTGTTGGGGTTATCCCATGTAGATGTATTCCACACATAATAGGGGGATATTCGGCAGACGAAATTTCAGTTCATACCCCACATAGTATGGAATTCTAAAACGATTTAGTCAATTTAGTCATATTGGGATTCAAAACTAAAATATTAGCTTGGAACTTGAGCTACATCGGCCCTTAATTAGGCCTAACCCCTTATATAATGAAAACACTAATTCCTACACAATGTTGTCAATATTGGTCCCGCTTTAGTATGCCTCATATATAATATTGCCCTCTAAATTTGAGTATTTTCAGAATTTTATACACAAGTTTCACCGTACCATGCGTTAATAATATATGTCAACATTTTAGAGTCTTGAGATTTTAGGAAAACCCCCATTGCTGAATTTTCTATTTGGTTTACAACAATTTATTGGAAGAATTGTCGTTATATGTATGTTCGCTATGTTTTCATTTAAAAACTGTTTCAGTATTTCTGTGGTGGAGGGTATCCAAAGTTCGGCCCGGTCGAACTTAACGCTTTTTTACTTCATTGTCATTAAAGAAATTTTGCAATGCAAGAAAAAGATTATAATCGCTTGGTGCCAAGTCCCAACCCAGCTCCCGAAGTTTCTAACAAGTCACTGTAGATGTGTGTGGCCTAGCGATATCCTGTTGGTATACGACACCTCCCCTATTGGCCTATTCTGGTCGTTTCTGATCAATTGCCATCTTCAAACGGCCCAGTTGTTGACAGTAGAGTTCAGAATTTAGCGTTTGGCCATATGGAAGCAACTCATAATAAATAATTCCCTTCCAGTTCCACCAAATGCATAGCAAACCGTTAGTCCTGGTTGAGCCACCGTTTGAGGTGCTTCACCGCTCTTTGACCACGATCGTTTTCGCACAGTGTTATATAACACAGAAAAAAAAGCCACCCCGAAATTTTTGATTAAATGCTTCATCAGCGTTCGACAAAAAGATGTCGATAACATATTTCAAACGTAGTCGGAAATGTTTATCAAACACCAACAATTCACAAAAAAACCATCAACAAACGAGTTTGACCAAAAAAATTATTAAATTTGTTGGACAATTTTTAATAATTTTTTTGTAATATGCCATATTATTTTTTATTACGTTATTACAAAGTACTTTGTTGAATAGATTGTAAAATATGGATAACAAATATAAGTTTTTATTCGGTATAGAGCTACACATTTAGTTTAAAGCCGTTAAAATACTGAAAATTTGGAGGTATTTTTGTGGGAGAGCTGTAATAATAAGGGTAAAAATCGGCAATTGCTGTTTAAAAGGTTTTGTATCGTACTACAAGAAATTTAATTTGAAATAATAATAATAATTTGATAAACAAGATTGTCAATATGACAAATATTTTATCGATTAACAAAATAAAATTCAACAAAATTTTTAGTATATATGAGAATTACTTTATCAAAATATTTTCGAATGGGATTACAATTTTTTTTATCGGCGATTGTAAATATGAACATTATTTTTATCGGCGAAAAATCAATAAAATTTTAATTGGATTTTTGAATTTTTTTATCAAATGGTTACAATTTTTTTTCTGTGTATGTTATCCATTTCTCATCCCAAGTCACCATCCGTTTAAGAAATGGGTCTATTTCATTCCGTTTCGCCAGATGAAAATTCGATACATCCTATTTTTTCTATTAATTGGTGTGATACCCAAACATCGAGCTTCTTTTTGAATACAGCTTTGTGTAAATGGTTTAAGGGATTCGCCATTCGCAAAAAAATGTTTAGAGAAAAACGCGTTTAAAGTTTGAGAAGCCCTTCAGCCGTTACTTGATGCTGACACAATAAATCGGCTATATCTTCATGAGTTCGACATTCTTTAATCAGTGTAGATTCGAATTATATCAACAAAAATTTTGACCCCGAGAATGGGGGGGTCCCCTTAAAATAGTTTTATGGGCGATTTTTATCTCCTGGGCAATGTTACGACTGCTAAAATGCCGGTCACTGTCGATCATTTCTCCGATTTTATCGGCATTTTCGACGACCAGCCTAATATATTTCTTTTTCCCCAACCTAATATATAAATTAATACAATAAAACAAGTTATTGGTAACTTTGTAATTTTTTTACTAAATAATTTATTTTTCATCGTGATTTTTGGTCAAGGCTTACATTTTTTAGAACAAAACTGGAGAAGCATAAGATAAGGGTGAGGAGTAGGCGAAAGGAGCAGCATAGGTGGCTGCGTATTTAGCAACAACTGGAGTGGAGTAAGCAGCAGCAACAGGGGTGGTGTAAGCAGCGGCAACTGGAGCAGCAAAGGTCTTGGCAACAACTGGAGTGGCGAAAGTTTTAGCTAAAACAGGAGCGGCGACGGGAGCAACAACTGGAGCAGTGGCAACACCATTGTAGTTACGGGCAACATATTGGCTACTGGTGGCAGTCACAAAGGGAGCTGGGGCAGCAACAACATGAGCGGGTGCGGTGTATGCCAAAGGAGCAACCAAACCGGGCTTGGCGGCAGCACAAGCAATCATGGCGAAGATGGCAACAGCCTAATGTAGGTGAAACTTATTTTTAATATTTTGCTCCTATGTGATGTAATTGTTTCAATACTTACGAATTTGAACATTTTGAATTAAGGGTTGAGGATTTGAAATGTTATTACTCGAATAAGTAAGTGAATTCTGATATCAATCCAATAATGAAGTTAACTATTTATACGAAATAGTGATACAATTTAAGTCACCTTCAGTTTACCGTTTATATCGACAATGAAATTACAGTTTAATTATTAAAAAATAAATAGTTTACCATTCCCATCAAATGTTCTTGAAATTGACTAGAATAACTGTTACGTCTACTCACTTATAAATAGATTCCATAAAAATACAGAAAAAAACTGAAATATTTAAATACTCGTACATTTTTAGTTGTTGAAATACAAATGCCCCACAAAATGTGTTCCGCATTTTAATTGAGTGCCAAACAATCAGTGTTTATACTGCTAAAAAATCCACTGCATACTGAGGCGTATGGTTAACAGTTGATTTGAAATAAGTGTTGGAGCATTTTTTTTAACGACAAGACTGCAAATTTTTATTCACTATAAATACTTGACTTTGTTCCACACCGTATATCAGAAGTCACTTACTTATCCGAGTAATCACATTTCGAAACCACAATCCCTAATTCAAAATGTTCAAATTCGTAAGTATTGGAAATATGCATCAAATTTGTTCAAAATATTAACAATTTGTTTCGTCTCCTCTAGGCCGTTGTCATCTTCGCTGTCATTGCCTGTGCTGCTGCCAAGCCCGGTTTGGTTACTCCTTTGGCATATGCCGCACCCGCTGCCGTTGTTGCTGCTGCCCCAGCTCCATTTGTGACTGCCACCAGTAGCCAATATGTTGCCCGTAACTACAATGGTATTGCCACTGCCCCAGTTGTTGCTCCCGTTGCTGCTCCTGTTGTTGCCAAAACTTTCGCTGCCCCTGTCGTTGCCAAGACTTTCGCCGCTCCAGTAGCTGCTGCTTACACTACCCCTGTCGCTGCTGCTTACTCTACACCTGTTGTTGCCAAATACGCCGCAACCTATGCTGCTCCCTTCGCTTACTCCTCACCCTTGTCTTATGCTGCTCCAGTTTTGTTCTAAACACTGTGAATCTTGACCAAAGAACACCACCGGAAATAAATTATTAAATTAACAAAATATATATATAAACGATTTGTTTTAATGTATAAAAATATAAATTTTAAAACTTGTAATATTTTTGTTACACTGTTTATCTTAAAGGTTATATTTTTAATAATATGGCAAGGGATGTGATTATTATTATATATGAAAATTGTTTCACGACACTATACAAATAACGTCTTTAATATAGACTCGAAAAATCTGGTGAAAAATCTATTTATCCACGATTTGAAAAAAGATGGACAAAAATGTCAGATTTCTTTCAATTAGCATGCAATATAATTTTCAACCTGAATGTCAATATAACGAACCTAATCCTCATCTAGAAAAACTATCGTATATATATATATAGGTTCCCTTAAAAAGACTTAAATGTACTGACTGATAACAAGGTTTGAATCGGAGTCTATCTAACGCACCTAATCATCTGTGTCTGGGCTACAGCCCTGACACAGACGATCATCACCTCAGTCCACTCCTTTAAGAATAGACTTGATTCAATGACAAATACAACTTCTATCTTAACTAATTACAATGTTGTAATTAGAAGAGAAGAAAGTCGTTATAATTTCTAGCAGTTTCGGGTGAGGTCGTCATTTTAATTTTAAATTACAGACTATTCACCACCAGGGATGGTCCGTATGACGAATTTTTAGGTTTTCGACTGTCAAAAAGGTGTAAACGTCGAAAACGTCATATACCTGTATAAAATGTAGTAAATGTAGAAAACGTCATTAATTCGATTATTATTACCATATACCGTTATTTTCAAAAATACATATTATTTTTACATATATCTGTCTGTTCCTTACTAGAATTAATACAAAATTCTAAACTTTTTGGAGAATTTTTTTTGAAATTTTATATGGATTTCAGTAAAGCATACGTAATTTCCAAATTCACTAATGGAAATAGGTATTTTGTCAAAAACCTAATGGTTTTTGGTGGGTTTCCGACGTTTCTGACGTATGTAATATACGTCGAAAATGTATGTCATTTACGTCACTATTTCTGACGGACCATCTATGTTCACCACAGCAGGTGGGATTCTCAATAGCAACATCTGTGTGGCTGACGAATAATTTAACTAATATTGTACCATATTCTGGTCCTTGAAGGATTTTAGTGTGTAATTGCTTGCCTATATGGGCTTCTTAAGTGGCATTAATAGACGGTCAGAAAGATGGTCCGTAAGTATAGGGTACTTCTAACATTACTTTTGACGAAAAACCTTATAATGGTCTCATTATAGACTACCAAAGAAAGGCTTCATAAGGAAAAACCATTATGAAAATGTCGATAAAATCCGAAAAATTATTGAAGCTGACCGGCATGTTAGCAGTCGTAAGATCGCCTAGTTGTTAAAAATCGACTATAAAACTTTTTTAAACCATTTACACAAAGCTCGATTCCCAAAGAAGCTCGATGTTTGGGTGCCACAACAATTAACAGAAAAAAATAGGATGGATCGAATTTCCATCTTCGAAGCCTTGTCCAAACAAATGAGGTAGACCCATTTCTTAAACGGATGGCGACTGGGGATGAGAAATGGATCACATATGAAAACGATCGTGGTCAAAAAGCTGTGAAGCACCTCAAACGGTGGCCAAACCAGGACTTACGGCCAGGAAGGTTCAGCTATGCATTTGGTGGGACTGGAAGGGGATTAATTATTATAAGTTGCTTCCATATGGCCTTACTCTAAATTCTGACCTCTACTGTCAATAACTGGACCGTTGGAAGATAGCAATTGACCATAAACAACCAGAATTGGCCAACAGGAGAGGTGTCGTGTTCCACCAGGACAACGCTAGGCCACACACATCTACAGTAACTCGCCAGAAACTTTGGGAGCTTGGTTGGGAAGTTTTAATGCATCCTCCATACAGTCCGGGCTTGGCAGCAAGCGATTATCATATTTTGCTTGCATTGCAAAATGTCTTTAATGATAAAAAAATTCATAACTAGGAAGGATTGTGAAAATCAACTATTAGAGTTTTTTGGCAAATAGAGCAGGCATTATGAAGTTTCCTTTAAAATGGCAACAAATCATACAAAAATACGGTGCACATTTAGCCCAAATCGGTCATTCCGAAGCATGTTAAATAAAGTCCTATAGTTCAGAATGGAGTCAGTATAGACGACCAGAAACGAGTATGTGTAAGTAATATTAACAAGAACGGGACAATAGACAACACCTGAATGGAGCCTGTGCAGTTCGACTATAGTTGTTCAGTAGGGGAGGTCTGATCACTATTGTTTCTCTACATATGAACAGCAGAGAGGGTAATATTGTAATAAACTTTATGAGATCAGATGGGATTGTCAATGGACGTGCAGGAGGCCCTTCATAAATAACACAGTAAATAAATAAATAATCATGTTTTGTTTAAATTTGATATATAGTTTATTGTGTCGATATTCTATAGGTCAGTCTCAATGTTTTTTAGAACAAAACTGGAGCTGGGGCAGCAGCATAAGTCAAGGGTGCAGAGTAAGCGAAAGGAGCAGCATAGGTGGCTGCGTATTTGGCAACAACAGGGGTCGAGTAAGCAGCAGCAAGAGGGGTGGTGTAAGCAGCAGCTACTGGAGCGGCGAAAGTTTTAGCGACAACAGGGGCAGCAACGGGAGCAACAATTGGAGCAGTGGCAATACCATTGTAATTGCGGGCAACATATTGGCTACTGGTGGCAGTCACAAAGGGTGCTGGGGCAGCAGCAACAATAGCAGCGGGTGCGGTGTATGCCAAAGGAGTAACCAAACCGGGCTTGGCGGCAGCACAGGCAATGACAGCGAAAATGACAACGGCCTAAAAGAGACGAAACAAGTTATTAATATTTTAAAGAAATTTGATGTAGAGTTTTCACTACTTACGAATTTGAACATTTTGAATATAGGTTTGATGATTTCAAATGTTATTACTCTGATAAGTAAGTGACTTCTGATGCCAAATATAGAATTAAGTCAAGTATTTATAGTGAATAAAAATGTGCCGTCTCGTCGTTGTCAACAAATTAGTTTCAAAAGTTATTTCAATCCAACTGCCAACCATATGCTTCAGTGTGCTGTAGATTTCTTTAACAATACAAACATTGCTTATTTAACACACAATTAAAATGCGGGACACAGTTTGTGGGGCTTTTTTTCAAACAATAAAATATTTAAATATTTTTTTTGTTTCTTTAATTTTATGAAACTCACTTTAAACTCAGTAGAGGTAACGGTCATTCTTGTAGATTTCAAGAACATTTGATGTGGAAGGTGAACTATTTATATTTTAAATGATATGCCTTCTCATATTTAAAATTAACTTTTAACTGAAGGTGAATTAAATTGTATAACTATTTCGTATAAATAGTTAACTTCATTATTGGATTGATATCAGAAGTCATTTACTTATCAAAGTAATCAAATTTTAAAACCACAAATCTAAAATCAAAATGTTCAAATTCGTAAGTATTGAAACATTTCCATCGAATCAGTATAAAATATTAACTATTATTTTCACTTTCTTTAGGCCGTTGTCATCTTCGCTGTCATTGCCTGTGCTGCCGCCAAGCCCGGTTTGGTTACTCCTTTGGCATACACCGCACCCGCTGCTGTTGTTGCTGCTGCCCCAGCTCCATTTGTTACTGCCACTAGTAGCCAATATGTTGCCCGTAACTACAATGGTATTGCCACTGCTCCAGTTGTTGCTCCCGTTGCTGCCCCTGTTGTTGCTAAGACTTTCGCCGCCCCTGTCGTTGCCAAGACTTTCGCCGCTCCAGTAGCTGCTGCTTCCACCACCCCTGTAGCTGCTGCTTACTCTACCCCTGTTGTTGCCAAATACGCAGCCACCTATGCTGCCCCTTTCGCTTACTCCGCACCCTTGTCTTATGCTGCTCCAGTTTTGTTCTAAAAACTGTAAACCTTGAACAAAGATCAACATGAAAAATAAATTAATTAATTAACAAAAGAAAAATCACTCAAGACTTGTTTTATTATATTAACTTCGTATATCACGAATTCCATGTCACGCACTGTTACAGCGTGCGAAATATAATCGTTTGTTTAGTTATAAAATAGATTCCCAAATTTCTTTTGCAATTTTTATTAAATAATTTTACGCCTTTAACAATACCTGCAATTTTTTTATAAATATTTTTGTAAATTTTGGAGATATTAAGCAAAATTTAGCACACGCACGCGCTACAAATTTTTCCGTTTAAAAATTGGATATCAGTTTCGATATGAAATTTGTGCGAATTGGTTGGAGATAAAATTGCGGATTTCTTTTACAGATATAAGGTGTTATTCAAGATTATATTGAAATTTAATTTTTTTGAGAAACTAATTTGACATATAATATTAAATTTGAACACAGTCACGCACATGTTACACTGGTAACGCAACATTACACACATGTACTAAAAAAATTAAATTCAAAACAGAACGATTTAATTATGCTAAATTTTAAACCCCACATAACTATGTTGTCAGGGTATTATAGCTTTGTATGGCCCCAAGACCTTTAGTATATCATTATGCAATCATGGACCAATCGTCACGAAATTTTTGCCTATAAGTCCGATTCTAAACCAACTTATTGAGGAAAAATGTAACATGTGCATGACGGATACAAAATTTGTGTTTAAATCTAATAAATATATGCCCAAGTTACTCTCCACGCGAAAATGGAACAACAAAAAGAAAAACTGTGGTTATTTTTCAAAATTCAACTAAAAATATATTGTCCGGATTGCAACAAATATTTCCTATATAATTTCATATCTCTCTTAACGAATTGATGTTTCACCTATGTGGTTGACCTTTTTGTGGAATTCGTGATATATAAAATCTTTCAATATTGATTGAGAAAAAAGGTAGATTTTATTTAAAAAATGCTACAAATTTTAGAAAAGTGCAGAAAAAATACTATAGAATTTATATAAAAATCAGTGAGCGGAGCAGTATAGTCGGACGGGACCGATCATACGATACCCTACACAAATACGACGGAGTTCTAACTTTCTAAGGAAGTTTATTTCGAGCCTGGGAAATATTTCGTGACATTTGCACCCTCTTGCCCGATTAGAGGTCAACAGCACATCTTCCATACACTGACATATTTTCCGAATATTACTAATATTCAGTACAGCCCTTCTTATTAATTGTCCAGATTGACTTCAGCGTGGGTTGTATGGTGATGATCGGCTTACAACTGATCGATTCGAAAAATTGCAAAAAAATTATGTTTTCGGTCTACTTCATCCCAAAATTATTATCTGATCATCACCGAAAATTATAAGCGCTGTCCTTGACCATAACGGGAACCCCATGGAAAATTTCAAATCGATCAGCGTTATATTTCCGCCCTCTAGTGTGGTAATGGGTTACTAAATAATATCTGAATACGTTAGCACCTGTTAGTCAGTCACTCCTCTTGGATATACTATCAATTTCTCGGGTCTATGTCCTTTAGGAGTAAATATATACGTCATAGAATCCAAATTTTGTCATTTTTCATACAAAAGTCAGGGTCCATTTGACCCGCTAAATATTGACCGATATTTATCAAAACATTCTTTGGCCCGTTCCCTTCTGCATGTAAAATTTCACGATGTTCAGGCCATAATTGCGGCCTCTGGAGCGACCAGAAAAACCGACAAAAATTTAATATTTGGTCCATTTCATCCCCAAAATATTAACCGATCTTTAGCAGAAACAATAGGGGTCTTCATTAGCCACATGCAAAATTTCGTGAAGATTGGTCCATAACTGTGGCCTGTATCGTGTTAACAAATTATAATGGACAGACGGACGGACTCAGCTAGTCGAGATATGACGATCGGTATACTTAAAGGTGGGTCTAGGACCAATATTTCATTACTCCTTGGTAGATTTGCTCTCTACTAATATTACAAGAGGCTACCATGAATCGCACAGTAAAAGGAAGCCTACAAGTTCTAACAACTTCTCCATACAAAAACCAGTAAGGAAAGTAGTAAAGTCGGACTGGGTCGACTAGTGGTGAAGGGTATCATCACCACTTTGGGTATATTCAGCATATGTACCCTAAAGTCGAAATTATATATGGAAGCTATGCTATATGTATATCTGAACCGATTTCAAGGAAACTTATCAGAGATTAATTTATATTAACTTCAGTACGTTGTGTCAATCGGCCTAGCTATGGATCTTTAGTGCACCATTTACTTAAAATCGGACGGATATATATATATATATATAGGAGTACTATATATGGGAGCTATATATAAATCTGAACCGATTTTAACGAAACTTAGCACACATCATTTTAGACTTCATTCAGTACGCTATCCAAAAAATTCATGCAAATCGAATGATTTTCGGGACTTTGGTGCACCATCTGATTCTCTCTAAGTAACACAAGAAAGAAATACATAATCTTTAACATTGGTATACATAATTTATTTGGTCGATATTCTAGAGTTCAATCTCAAAGTTTTTTTAGAACAAAACTGGAGCTGGGCCAGCACCATAAGTCAAGGGTGCAGAGTAAGCGAAAGGAGCAGCATAGGTGGCAGCGTATTTGGTAACAACAGGGGTCGAGTAAGCAGCAGCAAGAGGGGTGGTGTAAGCAGCAGATACTGGAGCGGCGAAAGTCTTAGCAACAACAGGGGCGGCGAAAGTTTTGGCTACAACAGGTGTAGCAACGGGAGCAACAACTGGTGCGGTGGCAATACCATTATAGTTACGGGCAACATATTGGCTACTGGTGGCAGTCACAAAGGGAGCTGGGGCAGCAGCAACAACAGCAGCGGGTGCGGTGTAAGCCAAAGGAGTAACCAAACCAGGCTTAGCGGCAGCACAGGCAATGACAGCGAAGATGACAACGGCCTAAAGGAGACGAAACAAGTTTTAATATTTAATAATTTAAAGAAATTTGATGTCGAATTTTCACTACTTACGAATTTGAACATTTTGAATTAAGGATTGCGATTTTGAAATGTTATTACTCTGATAAGTAGGTGACTTCTGATGCCAAATGTAAAATTAAGTCAAGTATTTATAGTGAATAAATATGTGCCGTCTTGTCGTTGTCAAAAATTAGTTTCAAATGTTATTTCCAACCAACTGCCAGCCATATGCTTCTGTGTGCAGTGGATTTCTTTAGCAATATAAACATTGCTTATTTAACACACAATTAAAATGCGGGACACAGTTTGTGGGGCGTTTTTATTTCAAATAATAAAATTATATTTAAATATTTCATTTATTTTGTTTCTGTAATTTTATGGAACTCGCTTTTAATTTCGTGGAGGTAACGGTAATTCTTGTAGATTTCAAGAACATTTGATGTGGAAGGTGAACTATTTATATTTAAAATGATATGCCATTTCATATTCAAAATTAACGTTTAGCTGAAGGTGAATTAAATTGTATCACTATTTCGTATAAATAGTTAACTTCATTGTTGGATTGATATCAGAAGTCATTTACTTATCAAAGTAATCACATTCCAAAACCACAAATCTAAATTCAAAATGTTCAAATTCGTAAGTAGTGAAAATTCTACATCAATTTTCTATAAAATATTAATAACTTGTTTCGTCTCCTTTAGGCCGTTGTCATCTTCGCTGTCATTGCCTGTGCTGCTGCCAAGCCCGGTTTGGTTACACCCTTGGCTTACACCGCACCCGCTGCTGTTGTTGCTGCTGCCCCAGCTCCCTTTGTGACTGCCACCAGTAGTCAATATGTTGCCCGTAACTACAATGGTATTGCCACCGCTCCGGTTGTTGCTCCCGTTGCTGCTCCTGTTGTCGCTAAAACTTTCGCCGCCTCTGTCGTTGCCAAGACTTTCGCCGCTCCAGTAGCTGCTGCTTACACCACCCCTGTAGCTGCTGCTTACTCGACCCCTGTTGTTGCCAAATACGCTGCCACCTATGCTGCTCCTTTTGCTTACTCTTCACCCTTGACTTACGCTGCTGCCCCAGCTCCAGTTTTGTTCTAAAAAAAACTCTGAGACTGAACTATAGAATATCGATACAATAAATTATATACCAAAATAAAACAAAATCATGATTATTTCTTTACTGTATTACTTATAGAGGGCCACCTACTGTCAATAGAGAATTCCATCTGATCTTCTGTTTATGCCAAGAACTCTTATATTCCATTTAGTTACTCTGAACCATTTAATTTACCTGTTGTCCCAACCAGGGTTACCGTTGTGCGACTAAAGTCGCAATTTGCAACCTTTTTGATGCCCTGTAACTCTGCAACTTTTTAAGCTTTGTGCGACTTTTCTTCTTTGTCATTTTTAATGTTGAATTTTCCTTTTTATGTGTTAATTCTCCGTCGTTTTCGAGTTTCAAGGGTATCTGACATATTCTCCGACCAGCTTTTTTGACAAATTTATTTTTCTTTGCGACCTTTTTTCAAGGGAACGACTTTTTGAGCAACTTTTTTAAAATTGCCAGCGGTAACACTGATCCCAACTTCACTGTTATTATAAAATCTATGAGTCTAGACTAGAAAATGATTGTTGATAATACGGTAGTTACTGTTGCCCCCTCTGAATCTTGGACATTCCAACAGACCTTGGACTCAGCACCATTGCACTCAGCACGCGCCACCCAAGAATGGTTACAAAATGAGGTTCCTCTCTACATTTCTAGCGCACAATGGCCAAAATCTCCGGATACTAATTCGTTGGACTATTGTGTCTGGAGTATTTTGGAAAATAATTTTGGCACTAAAAAATACCAAATTGTCGATCACCTCAAGCAAGCGCTTCGCCGGGAATGGGCCAAAATACCACAGAGCAAGGCCATAATTCGTGCCAAAGGTGACCAATTCGAACAAATATAAACTTATTCTAAAATTTGATGCTATTTTCGAAATTTTTGCTTTCTTTCAAAAAAATTTTAAAAAATA